TTTTTTTCCTCTTCTGTCAATTTTGATCCTCCCCTGGGTGTATTCTTGTTTTGTCTAGTCAATGCTATGTTATGTTTGTTGAGTATTGTTTAATATGGTAGAGTAAGGTTGCTCTCCCCGCCTTGATCAACTAGCAGTGTGTTCTGTCATGTGCAGTTTTCTTGTAGTATTGTGTTTGAACGGTACATTTGGCTGGATCTGGTTCTAGACATAAAATTCTCTGCTGTTCATTCATAAAATATGTAATAAAAGTAATAGAATACAAAATCCACTGTACATAAGATTAATGGCAACTTTTTAAAGTTAAAAGTAGACAACACTTTGGTACATGTTATTGAGTCAATAATTAAAACAATTGGAAAGTTTTACAAAAAGTAATAGAACAAAAAATCCAGTGTACATAAGATTAATGGCAACTTTTGAAAGTTAAAAGTAGACAACACTTTGGTACATGTAATTAAGCCAATAATTAAAACAATTGGAAAGTTTTACAAAAAGTAATAGAACAAAAAATCCAGTGTACATAAGATTAATGGAAACTTTTGAAAGTTAAAAGTAGACAACAGGCTTTGGTACATGTAATTAAGTCAATAATTAAAACCATTGAAAAATTTTACAAACAGAAAACATGCAGAAATGGCATAAATCCTACAGCACCTAGTCCTGTTTTTGTTTCAAAAATTGTAGCATTTCACTCATGTTCTGCGACACATTTTGACCAATTGACAGTTTTGCTGCACGATAATCTGACACTGACAGGCTTGATGTACTTGGTTTTGATTCTTAAGGTTTGACCGACTCTCTCTTGCGCCCTGCGCTTGCACCTGCACTGCTGCTCTGCTGATCTTGGTCAGTTGTTAGACTGGAGCCCTCAGAGCTGAAGACAGCACCCATAGACACAAGTTTTCGAGGGTGTATGGCAGGGTTGCCCTCATTGAGCTGAGACATCAGATCATAGAAGGCCCATTTGCTCGGTTCATTCCCAGAGCCTGTACACAATCGCTCCATATCAACTTTTTCACGAAACTTCATACCAAGGTATGCCATTCTCTTGGCACATAAGTCTGAGGTGACCTCGGGGTACCCCATGGTCTGAAACTTTGCAGCAATTACTTTGAAGATGGAATCTGCTCTGTCCTTATCATTATTGAACAAAGCCTTCTTCTCTGTGTACTCAGCAATCAATAGCCGGGACAAGTGGTCGTCCTTGAAGACATGGGCAGGCTCTGTAAGAAAATTGACATCTGCTAAGTTTCAACCCTACAGTAATCCTTTTAAACTTTCTTGTATTCCAGCATATGGCAAAGCCACAATTAGAAGGTAATCTACTGAAAACTGTACATACCATCAGCCTCAGTGCCAGAAGGCACAATAATACCACATATTTCTTTATTACTTTCAACCAGCGACTTCCTTGGTTTGGACTTTTCCCTCGACTTTTCCTTAGTGTCAGTAAGCTTTGATGCCTCAATGGCATCATCTATTTCTTTCAATTGCTTCCCGATATTAATTGTTTTGGAATGAAAAAAGTCCATGTATTTCTTATAGGGCCAGTCTGTGGTAGATTCATCACTTGACTTCAGGAGCCGCGCCCATGACTTCTTAACATTAGTTTTGGTGTAGTAG